GTTAATTGGACAACACGTTTATGGCTGACGACTCCTTGTGTACCTCTTCTATCTACTCGTGTTTTTGATTTTTTGTTCTAAAAGACAAACAGTAAAGTTTTGTTCTTCAAAAAATCTTCGTTTTCGTTGTTGTTCGTAAGGTGTTTTCACAGACAGTCGGAGTCTGGGGATAAATTATTGCCCATGGCCCAATTACTGTTATTTAGTTGATCTCTGTGAGGAGCGGTTTAGCTGACCATCACTTTGCCTGTTTTAGTAAAGACGCAGTCAGTATATAGGTTATTTGTTCTCCTGGCTTTCGCTGCCATAGTACTGCTCACTGAATGCGCGAGGGAATCTTATCTCATAGGGTGTATATGCTAACCAGATTGGAGTGACTGGGTCGCTTTTTTTCTTCGTATAACCCACGCCTCGCGTTACTCCTATTCGGCTTTTGTACGCCTTGATTAACTTGTTTGCAAAGATTGTTTAGGTCTCTAATAAGTTCTCAGTTGAATCAGGGCAAAGATGCTGTGTATGTGGTAGGCTCGAGCGGAAATTGTTTGCCTCGGATCGGCCCTGTTCGGTCCGTGTGTTTAATGAACCGTCTTCTCCGACATTGGCCGGCTGGCTGCTTTTTGGGAGACTGCGGTTTTACGTTCTGCGTTAGGTCTTTTTCGCTCAAGCGAACCCTAGATCGATGGTGAAATGAGGGGGTCCTTGCAATTGACGAATAAATTTTCCGGGACCTTGGGTGAACAGGTCAGATGTATACTAGTCTAAAAATTGTACCGTGTAAAGTTGAAGGAATATTTCCCCGGAATGAATTTAAAGCAAGCAAGGACAGCAGAATTTAATGGTACCACAAAATTTCGCGACGGCTTCTCAACTGCTGCCGGTCGTTGCACAACAGAAATAACAAGTGAGAAAGGTACAAAGGTTTGAATTTCGACAGAGAAAATCGATGTAAAACAGCAAGGTCAACGTGTACTGCGCGTAGATAATCGATAAAATGGTAACATCAAAATGCAACATAGGAATGAAAATGGGGAACTAGGCATGCCGAGGGATTTCGAAACTCAAAAGGGGCTCGGGTCTACCAGGGCAAGCTGAAGTTGACCACGTGGTCTAACTGTTAACATAGGTCGGGTTTCTCCCGCCGTATATAGCCTGCCTCCAGGTAGCGCAGTAACCGAGTAGTTCGTGCTCGAACTAATACTCGAAAAGACGTCTTAGGGTCAACCGAATGGCCACTATCAAGGGGATGTTTTGTAATGGAAGACCGTGGAGTCTTGTTCTCCTGCTTTAGAAGCCATTTAGGCAGGTGCTCAACTGCTCTGGCTGCCAGTTGCCTTTGCGTTCGCCCAATGTACTTGCATCCACAAGTACATGTAAATTCGAAAACACAATTTGACGTGGCGTGCAATGGCAAGGCATCCTTCGCCCGTGGAACTTCGATAGCCTTAGTAGAACTGTAGAAGATGAGTTCAGCTGCGTTGTAAGTTCTTTCAATAGTGCATCTCAATCGCCGCTTGATGGTATTAGAGATGTTGTCGCCCCTAAAGGGTAAGGATATTATAACGGGCAGCAGTTGAGAAGCCGTCGCGAAATTTTGTGGTACCATTAAGTTCTGCTGTCCTTGCTCGCTTTAAGTTCTGCGTTAGGTCTTTTTCGCTCAAACGATCCGTAGATCGCTGGTGAAATGAGGAGGTCCTTGCAATTGACGAATAAATTTTCCGGGACCTTTCTTGGATGAACAGGTCGGAGGTATCCTAGAATCTAAAAATTTTACCGTGTAAACTCGGTAGCGTTTTTCTTGTCCGCCGACCAATGTCCCTTTCTCGTACAACACTTCCTTAATGATAATGCTAATAATAATACCCACAAATTCCAGAGTGGGTGTTTTAAAAAATTAGCAAGCATCCCCGAAAAAAAATATTCAGAGGAAAAAGTAGTTCGATAATGGGTTTGGAGGAGCACGGTAGTTCCCTCTTACTGGTAGGATTTATCAATTGATAGATGTTTTGGCGGCTTTTGAATAATTCATATAGGCGCAATTGTGAAAAACGGCGCCTCGGTGGGATTCAAACCCACGCAGTAAGGGGAAGGTTTTAGTACAACCAACGCTCTAACATCTATGAATTACGCGAGCCTGGTAGTCATCTGGTGGACTCTAGGCGAATGACTTAAGAAATCCTGCTTGGACAGTCAACTTACTGCATCATATTTGGTGGATTCCAGACGTTGCAGTAGGTTGGGCCGGTAACTTGACCCAAATGCGATTAAACTCGTGTCATCCGGCGGAGCCTTATAGCTCAGATGGTTAGAGCGTTGGCTGTACTAAAGTCTTCACTTGCTGTTGCGTGTTCGAATCCCCCACAGAGGCACCGACTTTGTCACGATTCTGTCAAAACACCTCTGAATTAGGGTTATTGTTGGAGTTAGCCAGGGGAATAATTTGCCCTTTCCGGAATTACGCGAAGGTTCACCCATATAACTCGAGCGGGGCGTACCTATTCCCATGTCCTGAATGGGGCACGCATATCTGATGCTGTCTGCAACCGCGTATTCGGAGATGGCCTTTACGCATAAAACATCCAAGAGCCCGCATATCTGCTCTTATTAGCAATATATATGCGTACCGTAGGAAGAATGTGCACCGATCAGCTAATAAGCTAGAGATGACCATTCCAGTCTCCCCCGTTTTTGTCAGCACCTCTTCCTAGATGGACGTCTTAAAACGAGTGCACTGACTGAACTCACATTAGTTCATTGGGAAGTTGCGCGACTGCGCCTTTGATAGTCAGAGAACTGGATCAGGTATTTACTTCCAAAAGGCATCCTAAAGCCATCCTTCCGGATTTACGATTTAAGATGCATAAAGAATAAAACAACCACTCGATCTTCCTTAATGTCCTCGTCTGCCGCAAAGACTGTGGCACCTTAAATCGAAGTTTTCAAGAAAGCGACAAATACGACGCCAACACTGAACTTCAACAGCAACCATCCAATCAGCCACAAATCCTGCTGCTTAGGGGACACTAAATCGGTATTTTGCGGCCCAGTTCGGTAAGTCGAAAGACAAGCTTGCCAAATCACTATGTTTTCGACGGGTGTTCAAAGCCAGAGACTACCTGCGCATCTCCCTCAATCCATGCACACTCAAAAAAGACGAAAGACCTAACTGCACGGACACAAAATTTTGGCGAACGCGTCCGTACGTCAAGAACGTTTCGGAAACCGTCGGCCACCTTCTGGCACCCCATGAAGTTGGTGTTGTACGCAGACCGGACATAACCATCAGGCCTCAGATGATGAGACCGACAACCCACTGTCGCAACAAGAAACGTCTGGAGTCATTTATGGGATCTGATGCAGTTGCTGACGCAGCAACTACGTCGAAGGAACCGGAACACAGCTCCGTACGCGAATTGCCGGACATATGATAGCAGTGAGGAGGAATGACCCTAGCGCTCAAGGTGCGGCTCATCCGAGGAGATCCGGACCCACATTCAAATTCGACGTGGCCGAAACTCTTGTTAGAGGTGACATTTGTGTGAGCCGTTAGCTGTTTGAGTCACGGCTCACTGGGTCTCAGTCTATTAACAAGTAAAATGACCTCCTCCTTCCAAACGAGGTGCTGAGGCTTAGTGCGGACAGAGTACCTAACCACGCCGAGAGCGCATAGGCGAACACTGTCCACAAAATCCGTGTTGGTCTGGAAGATGACAGTTCGGCCATCGGTTTCGATTATGTCCATCGTGTGCCCCACAGTTGCAGCAGAAATGGGAGCAGGGACGGTGACTTACGCAGGGGTTTATAGTGCCGGTAGACTTGCGTAGCATCTACCTACACTCTCTCCTCCTCCCTCGCCCGAGCCCGGTGTCAGGACTGTCAAGAAGACCGGAGACGAGAGAGGCCGCAGGTGGATGGCTCGGACGGATCCTCACCTTGGCGTTCCACCACACCCCCTGGCCCACACAACAAATAACCAGGATTTCAACCAACACAAGAGAGATTTGGAGGCTGGCACG